TATAAACTCAGCCTGAGCGAGCCCCGAGTTGAGGGTACTAGGTCGGATTAAATTATAATTTTGCATATCTTACAAAATTTAAAATGTAAAACTCAAAAACTATTCATTGTACTTAACAGTTAGCGAATCCTGTCGAGTTCTGTGTTATTCAGATCCATTTGACTTTTAAACTCTCGCGTTTAAATACATTTACAAAACCTCGCTTGTTTTAAGCAAATTGACATTTTAAATTAGCTAGACGCCCGATTTATAGAAGCGTTTATTATTAAACAGTTTTATATAACAAGAATGGTAAAAAAGGACGATGAACTGATCAAATTATTAACTTATGAAATGTAGCAACTGATGGATGCATTTACAAACTGGTGGCTCATCATGATTAGAAATAGAAATAGAAATAATCTTTATTCAAATAAACTTAATATAAGCACTTTTGAATAGTCCAATTTTTTTTATTCTACCGCTTATTCAGAATGCAGATTCATCACAAGAAGAATAAGCAAGAAACTTATGTGTTGCATTATCATTCAAATCACATATAAAAAAACTTTCTAGTATAAATTCAAATTTAAATTAAAACATCATTTATTAGTAGGACATTTTATCTGTTGCTATATGAATACAATTTTTTTAGTTTTCTAATTTTTTCATATTCTATACACATATTAATAAAATCTCCTGACGAGAACAGTAACTAAATTGAATTTCTTTTTTTTTAACTCAGATTATTTACATATATCTATAACTGTCTATATCTAATATTAAATGGAAATCCCATGCATGAACAACTATTACCCTGTACGCTCGTATCGCAGGATATAATAGTCATAAAATGCAAATTTTTGTATTAAAAAAAAGGGATGTAAAGACTGTAACCTGCACTCTAAAATTCCTTCGTCCTGGCTACACCTCTCCATAAAAGTAGTTTCATGTCTGACTATTTTATTTTGCAAGTCTCTGGAACTCGCCTGAAGACAGTATAACTTTCTACAAAATATAGACCTGTAATAATAATGATCCTCATCTTCTTTGTATCCTCTCCGATCGATCCCCCGTCCAATTCAAACGGGGATCGAAATTACGACGGCCTGAGCCGAGGTTCGAACCCCTAGTGGTGCGCTCAGTCTAAAGTCGTATCCGTCAGGCAGGAGTTGGCCTTCAGCCGCTCCATAAGTCCTACCGCGGGTTTGGAGTGCCCTCTATCGTCCGGTGAAGCTGTAAAGGCCAGCTGAGGCCAACAGCATTAGAGTAGTCCGAAAAAAAAATCTTTATATCCGTAGTTTGTTTATAATATGCATATATATGTCTTTATAATACGAATGCTTCGGTGGTTTAGCGGTTTAGCACACCGCTTGTCGTCCTATGGTCGCGGGTTCGATTCCTCGCACGGTGCAAACATTTGTATTCATGACTATAATTGCTAATTCTAATAAGCATTTACGAAAAAAAAATTTGTCTATTAGTTGTCTACTATCCGTAACTAAAGTTCTGCTTAGCTTGGGACTAGATGGCGCTGTGTCAACTTTTATAGATTGTAAATTATATTCACATAGCCAAATGTTTTCAATCATTTTTCAAACGACAAAACACTTTTATTCTAAGTATTTTTTATGAGTAGTTTCACAAAATACAACACAATGTTATTATTATCTGTACAATATAAAGATAACGCGCCTACTGAGATAAAAAAATGTTGTATAAGATTTTGTTTTGTAAAACTGATTATAGCTAGAGCAGATGTTTATAAAATCAAGTTTTAACAATTGTATCCTATAAAGTCTTCATTATGTGATTATATATTATGTATCAAGTTGACGATGCATCCGAATTTTTATGGACGACTAGCTGTTCCCGCGACTATGTCCGCGTGGAATTTAACTTTATTTTTCTAAAATAAAAGTATAAATTACTCCTTATTACATCAGCTACCTGCCAAAAAAAGTTCCGTTAAAATCTGTCCAGCCATTTCAGATATTAGCCGGAACAAACAGACCGACAGACAGACAGACAAAAATTATAAAAAATGTTATATTGTGTATATGTACCTGTTTATACTCATATGCATGTAGTAAAAAACGGTAATTTCAATATTACAAACAGACACACCAATTTTATTTATATGTATAGATGTATAGATAATGGAATAGTGCACCCGCCTGCACTAACGGTTTACGCATAGAGGGGTACTTTTTGGGTTTTGTAATAATGGCTTGATTTTAAAAACTCCCGCCCACTTGTACCCGAACAAACATTGGTTCGAGAGTTTACTCATGCGGCCGCATGTGCGCTGAGCGCCACTGTCGCTTGTACATCAAGATCTAGAACACGGCTGGGAGTGTTTTGTCTCAATTTTTAATTGAAATAGCAAGTGAACGAAACTAAGGACTTCACTGTGGAAACTATTTAATAACATCAGGCAGTGTTAGTGTGTGTATAAATACAAGTCCCGGGACACGCAGCAGGTGGTGAAATAATTCGGTGAATCGCCATCAATCCTGACCATATCTGTATTGATATAGCATAATGTAAATAATATGCAAAACATTATTCTATTATTTGGGGTCGGTACAGGATGCTATCTTCTTCCACAGGTCCCTATCCTTCATGTTGTGCTTCTTGTATTTTGTCATTGCTGATATTTTCACATTTTTACATCATCTTTCACACCGTCCTTCTAAACTTCGTCGATGGGGAAGGTGATTGCTAGTAATAGGAACTAGTAATTCCCATAGCTAGCAATGTACCATGTACTTCCACGCGGGTCCCCCTGGAAACCATCGTGATAAATTCCTGATGAATTTGTCATGATGGGCTAACTGAAACCTTCATACTCATCTTATCATATATATGGTGCCCCGCCAGCGTAAACCGTTAGCGCAGATAAAAATGCAACATTTCATTAACAACTTCAAAAAAAAAAAAAAAAAAAAAAAAAATTGTAATATACAATTTTTTTTTTTGGGTATCTACCCTCACTCTTGCGTATATTCTGGTAGTTCCAAACTAATAATGATTAGCATGCTAGGTATCTGTAAGAAACAATTGTACATAATTTGTACAGTAGTAGCAGTTAGTACATTATTTCACAACAATAACATTTTATTTTAGGTGGATGTGTAGTGTGACAAGAATCGATAAGATAAAGAATGAATACATTAGAGGAAGTATGAAAGTGGCGTCGGTGTCGGAGAAGTTGAAGAGTAATCGTCTATCATGATATGGACATGTAATGCGTAGGAATGAGGATAATATTTTAAGGAAGGTGTTACATATGAATGTGGATGGTTATAAGGGCAGAGGAAGGCCGAAAAAGAGATGGATGGACTGTGTGAAAGATGTTATGGTAAGAAAGGAAGTAAATAACGCGATGACTGCGAACAGGGATGAATGGAAGCGAAAAACATATTACGCCGACCCCAAATAAATGGGATAAGGAAGAAGCAGATGATAACATTTTATTTTACATTTCACATTTCATTTAAAATCAGTTCGCATTCGGTCATCAAGGATTGCGTACTCATTTCAATCATTAATCAGTTATATTTTAAGTTTCAATATACAGTTTTAATCAAGTTTCTATCAGCATCATCAGGTTTACCTATATCTTTATAGTTTCGGTACAACCCTAATATTGTGGTGCTAGTATAAAAAAAATCCAAAATAATCTGTTATCTTCCTATACATACGTTTATTATAAATATCTACCCTCACTACTTCGTATATTCTGGTACTTCCAAACTAATATACCAAAATAATCTGTTGCTTCATAACTTATTTAATGGCAATGTTTTAAATCTTCACATGTACTGATTTCTTATAGTGTTATTCTTGGTCGTACCACTTATACCAAATAACTGTATTTCAGTTCCATATTTCGTCTTTCATATATTTCCATTCTTACATTCAGATCTACACAAGGAATACTACATAAAGTAAACTTGCATATTAGCGCAGCATTATACCATCCAAAAAATAAAAAAGGTAAAACTGATCTCTTTTTCGTTTAGAGATATTTTATTTTAATTCGGATTACATCCATATTGTGTTAGCAAAAACTTATAAAACTATGTTAGTAACTTATAATATACAGATGCAACGTTATCCAGTGCCTCTGGAGCGGACAATCAGGTATACTCGCAACAGTTGTTAGGATGCTGTTTGCGCTCCCCCGAATTCTAGACATCAGTGATGCAGCTCTTTTACGCATTATGGCTTGAAATCCATCTACCCGCGCTGCTGCAAATGTCTCTGATGCGCTACAAAACCGAGGGAGCCCCAACAACATAGAAAATCCATTATTATACTGTACACGAAGAGCGTTGTATGCCCTCTGCGTATACCAAAACCATAGGCCGCACGTGTAAAACGACTGACAATACGATTTAAACAACGTTGTCTTCACTTCGTTATTACACCGTGCAAACCTATGGGCCAGCATATTAGAATAGAATAGAATAGAATAGAAAATCATTTATTCAAATAAACTTAATTTAAGCACTTTTGAATAGTCATAACAATTTGTTTTTTATCTACCACTCGTTCGGAAAGCTGTCTCATCACAAGAAGAACGAGCAAGAAACTTGTGTGTTGCTCTTTTAAATCGGATATATTATTTTATTTTAATGTACCTAACATATTCTGTGATGGTTAAGTGATATAGAATCTGGAATTTAATATAATCAATTCTGAGTAGTACTTTTTAAACTATCGTCAATTCATTACCCAGATACAGCTAAGAAGAATGGACAAGAAACATAACAGATCATCGATGAATATATATTTGACAACCCTAACCATTCTAGAAAAAAACTTATTGCATATTGATAAAAATGAACATTATCTTATACACTTCAAAATTGTATAACAATTTTAAACATTGTAAGCGTTTAGACCAAGCTGGTCACAATTACTCAGCACCTATCAGCTGTTATCAAGAATAGTTTGCTTATAAATACTGCGTTATCACTTACTGTCGTCAGTTATATCAAACCATTACTAACATGAGTTTCTCCGATAAAGTAGTGCTTATCACCGGCGCCAGTTCTGGAATTGGTGCCGTAACAGCAATAGAATTTGCAAAAGAGAAAGCCGACGTGGCTATTGTTGGTAGAAACGAAGCAAAATTGAATGCAGTAGTTGAAAAATGCAAACAATACGGCAAAGCACCACTTGTAATAAAAGCAGACGTATCTAACGATGAAGATGCAAATAGAATCATCAATGAAACAGTTAACAAATATGGTAAACTCGATGTGCTAGTCAACAATGCTGGATTTACCAAATTTGGATCGATTTTAGATGGGACAGTGGTTGAAGCATATGATACAATCATGGATACAAACGTGCGTGCAGTTATTAAACTTACAACTCTAGCAGCACCACATCTTATAAAAACTAAAGGGAATATTGTTAACATATCAAGCGTTGCCGGTTTTTCTATAAAGGTCATAAAACAGAATGCATATTCGCTGTCCAAGGCTGCTGTAAATCATTTCACTAAAGGAGCTGCATTAGAGTTAGCTCCATCTGGAGTAAGAGTGAATGCTGTTAGTCCAGGACCAGTGAGGACCGACTTCTTAGAGAATGCTGGAAGCGACATTACGTGGGACAGTTTTAAAAATTCTGTCGCTCTTAATAGAATATCAGATCCGGAAGAGGTGGCTAATGTGATTCTTTACTTATCTAGTGATAAGGCGAAAGGAGTGACGGGTTCCAATTACCTTGTTGATAACGGAAGACTCTTATTATAAGTTTTTTCTATATTTGGAATGGAAAATCACCTGACTGTAAGCAATATTTTATTTTGACTTTAAGACATTAATTATAACAATTTTTATCTCCAGGTTTCCTTAAACAATACTTCATATTATAATCCATTATTCCGTATGTGTCGCAATATAGATAACTTCCATTCAACGCTGGTCCAGTTCCGGAGACAGTTGAAGTTCCACCGTATACAGTCAAATGGTGTTGTCAAATTATATTTACTTTTGTACCTATATATTCTTTTATACATATAATATATACAGTTATATATAAATGTTCTGTTAATAAAATGACTCACACACGTAGTTATCTCTTTATCACTTTCTATTTACAGTACTTTTTAATTTTTTTATTATATAACGTTATCTAGCGTATATTGCATGCGTCTATATAATTTAGCTTTTAGTCATACAATGTTGGTTGTACGCTCTGAAACATTATCTTGTACTGATTGTAATATGTTTTGTATGCTAATAAAGAAATAAATAAATAAGCTATCTCAAAAATATTATAACTATGACAATTTGTAAGTATGAACGGATGGATGTTTGTTACTCTTTCACATAAAAAATACTGAACAGATATTGATGGAACTTAAGTATTACAGCAGATATTATGTAAATTGGGCGAAATATAATGATAAATGTCAAGTTTATGTGACAAAGTAGCGCATATAGCTGACCCTTAACTTCGTCTGGATCACACATACTTGTCGTTGATCATTTACTAGCTTTTGCCCGCGGCGTCGCTCGCGTTAATTTATCCCCTTAGGGGTGGAATTTATCAAAGTCCTTTCTTAGGCAATGCCTACGTCATCAGCTTTATGCATGCAAAGTCTCAGCCCGATCGGTTTAAAATTGACAAAGTTTCATACAAACTTTCATCCCTTATTTTATCCCTTTGGGGGTAGAATTAATCAAAATCCTTTCTTAGCGGATGCCTTCGTCATAACATCTACCTGCATGATACATTTCAGTCAGATCCGTCCAGTGGTTTGGGCTGTGCGTTGATAGATCACTATGTATGTCAGTCACCTTTGAGTTATATATATTTAGATATCAGTATATAAATGACTATAATGATAAATGTCACATGATAACGTGATATTCGTAGTTGTTTAGCAACAGAAGCTAAACAATGAAAAGACTGTCATGAAGAAAAGTCTACTATATTGTTGCTTAATGTATAATTAAACTTCTTAATATTACTTATTTTCACAATTAAATGACTTTAGGGAGACTTTGCATAAAGTCTGTGTGGATAGAAGATTGTTTGTAATCCACTACCTTATTTTATAGTATAGGGGACAAACGAGCTTATGGCTCACCTGATGGTAATTGATCACCGTCACCCAGAAGCACCAGCAACACCAGGGGAATTGCAAATGCGTTGTCAGCCTTTTAAGAAAGAGGAAGCTCTTTTCTGGAAGGCTTCATTATCATATCCTAAATAACTAAATACATCTAAATTGAAAAGGATAAATGTAACAGGAAATACCGAAATGAATAATAATAATGTAATAAAATTAAATAATTACATTGCTGGATGGTGATTCAACAATATGGTTGTGCGTGGCAAAAATTTTCTAGAAAAACCCACGACGGTAGACTGCCATTCATCCCGATGATCAGTGTGGTATTATATTTTTTTTTATACTACTATGGCGGCAAGCAAGCATATGGCCCATCTGATGGTAAATGAATTTAATAATAATAGGTTATTACATATAAACCAAGTTACCGTTACCGTAGCCTATGGACTCCTGAAGTACCAGGGGTGTCACGTGCGCGTTGCCGACCCTTAAGAAACCTTAATATACCCTTCTTGAAAAACCCCATGCTGTAGTCTCGTGAGAAAACGTCGGCAGGAAGTTCATTCCACAATCTAAGTGTACGCGGGAGGAAGCTCCTCTGAAACCGCACTGTCCGAGACCACTTAGGTTTATTAATATTAATTTCTGGCAGGTAGATCGATGGTGGCATTCAGCAGCTGGTATTAATCCGAACAATTCCTCAGAACACTCACCGTGATATATGAGGTAGAAAATGCACAGAAAAAATGCATTAGAACTACGTGGAGACTACACTATAGGAACTCATGCAAACCACTATTTAAAAAACAGAGATTAATATACACTAACTGGAATGTAGATTAAACAAATAATGATATTTGTAACTCAAAATCCAATGGAGTCAGAGATATAGAGTAGGAACGAATTGTAAACATATATGGAACAAAATTAAGTATGGTCAAAGACAACGTCTTCCAAGTCTTCAAGTTATAACAAAATACCAAAAGATATAAAGGAACTTTTGTTAGGATAATTGACGCATAAATTAAAAAAAATTGGTCAGTCGATAAGTGTTTCTACTACGTAAATGAGTTTCTAAATGCATAATAATGTGATAATGATAATAATAATGACATGGTTTTGTAATTGCCCTAACAAATGTTTTTAATAATTAAATAATTTTTAAATATTAAAGATAACTATCTCTTATAAATACTGCGTTATCACTTACTGTCGTCAGTTATATCAAACCATTACTAAAATGAGTTTCTCTGATAAAGTAGTGCTTATCACAGGCGGCAGTTCTGGAATTGGTGCCGTAACAGCAATAGAGTTTACAAAAGAGAAAGCCAATGTGGCTATTGTTGGTAGAAACGAAGCAAAATTGAATACAGTAGTTGAAAAATGCAAACAACACGGCAAAGCACCATTTGTAATAAAAGCAGACGTATCTAACGATGAAGATGCGAACAGAATCATCAATGAAACAGTTAACAAATATGGTAAACTCGATGTGCTAGTCAACAATGCTGGATTTACTAAATTTGGATCGATTTTAGATGGAACAGTGGTTGAAGCATATGATACAATCATGGATACAAACGTGCGTGCAGTTATTAAACTTACAACCCTAGCAGCACCACATCTTATAAAAACTAAAGGGAACATAGTTAACGTATCAAGCATTGCTGGTTTTGCTGTAAAGGTGGTAAGACAGAATGCATATTCGCTGTCCAAGGCTGCTGTAAATCATTTCACTAAAGGCGCTGCTTTAGAATTAGCGACTTCTGGTGTAAGAGTGAATGCTGTTAGTCCAGGACCAGTGAGGACCGACATCTTAGAGAATGCTGGAAGCGACATTACGTGGGACAGTTTTAAAAATTCTGTCGCTCTTAATAGAATATCAGATCCGGAAGAGGTGGCTAATGTGATTCTTTACTTATCTAGTGATAAGGCGAAAGGAGTGACGGGTTCCAATTACCTTGTTGATAACGGAAGACTCTTATTATAAGTTTTTTCTATATTTGGAATGGAAAATCACCTGACTGTAAGCAATATTTTATTTGGACTGTGAGACACTCCTTATTACATCAGTTACCTGCCAAAAAAAGTGCCGTCAAAATCGGTCCGGCCATTTCAGAGGTTGGCCGGAACAACAGAGAAATATTATTTTGGTGTATGTACCGTATTTATATTCATATGCATAAAGTAAAAGACGGTTATTTCAATATTACAAACAGACACTCCAAGTTTGTTTGTAATCTGAGAGATAACAATAAAAAAAAATCATTCATTTATTCATTCATAGGTAAATTACAAGAGCATAGTATATCACAGTATTAATTAAATTTGATTAAAATCTGTCTAATATCTTTAAGCACAATATATATGTAGATTAAATAATCAGAAAACGCAAGCAAACCCAGTCACCAAAGCGTGTCAAGTGCGTTAACGAGACTTCCCGTAACGAATGTTAATTTAAACTTTTCTTCAATACATAAGAAAATCTAATTCCGAAGCTAATAAGGGTCGCTTTAGAAAAATATTTCCGTTTATCGGAAAAATTGGTGATGTATACATAAGTTGACCCCCGGACCCTCCCATATTGTCTCACATAAAAAAGTGGGGAATCTAAACTGAGCTTTAGATGGTACGGTCGGCAAAATAAAGTGGTAGAACAAAAAAATATAGAAAGAAAGAAAAGAGAGAAATTTATTTTATTCAGTGCAATGTAAAAATACAATATAAACAACAAACGAAAATTAAATTAAATAAAATAAAAACTATTTCTAATTAATTTATCTAAGAAAATGTATTTAAGTGCAATCTATACATCTATACGTGTAAATAAAATTGGAGTGTCTATATGTAACATTGAAATAACCGTTTTTACTACATGCATATAAATACGGTACATACACCAAAATATCATTTTTTACAATTTTTGTCTCTCTGCCTGTCTGTTTCTTCCGGCTGATCTCTGAAATGGCTGGACCGATTTTGACGGGACTTTTTTTGGCAGGTAGCTAATGTAATAGGGAGTAACTTAGGCTATTTTATTTTAGAAAAAATCTTTTATTTTAGGGAACTGCTAGTAATAGAAATAGATATAGAAATAATCTTTATTCAAATTAATTGAATAAAAAAAAAACTTTTGAATAATCAAGTTTTTTTTATTCTACCGCTTATTCGGAATTCGGAGGCTTATTCATCACGAGAAGAATAAGCAAGAGACTTGTATGTTCTCTTTTAGTAAGGAATATAATTAATATTATTATATTATATGGAACTTTAAGATTTATTTGCTGACGGTACACCTATTTTAGTGGAGATAGCAACCGTTGAAATATCGAGAAATCCTGATCGCTTATTGGATCCTGTCATGAAGAAAATTCTACTATATTGTTGCTTAATATATAATTGAACATCTTTATATAACTTATTCTCACAATAGGGAAACTTTGAATAAAGTCTACGTAGATGTCACTTAAAAAGTAATTTAGGTATCATACATAGGGACAGACAGACAGCGACAGTGACTTTATTTTATACTATGTAATGATTGATCATATGATATGATGATTATATAATATATATATATATATATATACTAGCTGACCCGGCGAACTTCGTAACGCCTAATAGTCGATTAGATTTTTTTAGTTTTTTAATACTATTCTTTTATTTAGGACGGCCGGTCAGCTATTCGGATAAAAAATGAAAGTTAATAAGTCAATAATTATAGAAAAGTGTTGTTTTTATGCATTTTTAATTTTTATTT